GGGTTTCAGGCCTCCTATTCTCAGACTTCTTGTGATTTTTTTTAGGTTTTTTTCTTTCATCGGAACGACCAACCCAAAATTAGGCAACGCAGCTGATGCTTATTGAAAAAAAGGGGGATGGCTTGTCTGCCATACAGAATTCCATAATAATAATATTTATTCTAATTCTATTATAGTATACCACCCCTTGAATAGACCATTTCCGAGTTCCCCCAGGCCTCTGTATCAAAACGAGGTTAGGTGCTCAACCTTTGACAAGGAATGATTTTTCATTCTCCTGCAAATAAAACTCATTTCCACAAGAAAGGTTGTGCACTTGTCTTATTTTGAAAGTGAGGGTTTTTGGAACTCGGAAGTGGCCTATTGAAAGGTCTCGCTAGGGACCGTAACATGAATTTTGGAATAAATAGATTTTGAAATTTTGAAAAAACGAAGGTTAAATTCCAAAGTAAAACACTGAAAAGCTGCTGCTGCTGTTGCCGCTGCCGTTTGATGATGATGATGATGATGACGATGATGACAATAAAAGAAGTAAGTCTTAAATTTAAGCCTTCCTTAATCTACCTAATTTCATCCAAAACTCCTCCAAAGAGAAATTCATTTCCAAGTCTTCCATCACTTGACCTAAACTTCCCTCTGTGAAAAAAAAAGGAACAAAAGAATTTTAAAAAGTGACATTAACCTCTTCCACATGAGTTGCATTACTGTTGATCTTTTGAAGTGTGTGGCATACCATAAAATGACATACCGTATTTATTCAAATAAGCGCCCAACCTCGAATTACCGCCCACCTCGACTAAGCGCCCATCCTAAAAGCAGAAAAAGTTAATAAGCGCCCAGCCTCGAATAAGCGCCCACCCCCTCCTCCCCCCAATCAAACTCAAATTAGCGCTCACCCCCATCCCACTCACTTGAATGAATAAATTCTAATTAGAGACTTCCCCGAGAACAGAGTTTTCTTCAGAGTAATTTACAGAAACCTTGCTTTGTTACTTCTTCACGTTTTGTTATTAGCATTTATTGTTTTTTGGCAAAATAGACATACTTCACTTGCTGAAAATGGTGAAAATTTAAGAAGCGCCCAGCCTCGAATAAGCGCCCACCTCTAATAAGCGCCCACCCTGCACTCTCAAGGTCCAAAAATTTAATGAGCGCCCAGGGCGGTAAATCGAATAAATACGGTAAATCACTGTCATCTGTTGTACTGAAATACGCTGAAAGAGTTTGCATTTTTGTTTATACAACCTTACCTTTTATTTTTCCTACACATAGTTCAAGAGTATCTATCAACGATTGCAAAACTTCTTCTGCTCCATCACCCGCCATATTGAAAGCTTTCGTCGTTTTCCTCGAGCGTCACGAAGATTTCCGACAATAGCCAATAACGACATAGCCACGTGACCTTTCAATCAAAAATGGCCGCCGCAGTTGTAGTGATAAATATTTATGATTTACTTTGAAGAGCGTCTGAGAAATTATCGAACCATCTCTTGATAATAAGTCATGATTAGACTGTGAGATGTGGAGAAGGGTGTTGAATTGATTATTCTAACATATGGGCAGTATTCCAGAGCGTTTCCTGGTTTTGTCGATGAGCAATGTTAAACGTTACTCATCAACTCAGAAAGAAGGTAGGTTTCAAAATGTCTCGATCGAAGATATAACCGTAAGAGTTTTGGAGTTAACTAGCGCTAGGCGTTTTGTTTACTCTGTGAGCCTTCTATATGCTGTCACTCTTGTAAAGATTATTTTAACAAGCGGTACAGTGAAACCCTAGAATCCAATTCGTCAGGGAAATTCATGGCATAATTGATCACAGGGGCACAGTGTTTGTCAGTGTTTTTATGCTTTATTCGAGTTTTATACGTTGTTAAGGTTGTTAATCGCCATTCACTCTCCCGGTGAAGTTTTCTTTTCTCAGAGCAACGAATTCCTACGTCTCCATAAACACATTTATGACAAAATATTAGCGATCAGTAAGCGTAACATATTTTTTACCTTTACTCAACTCATAGCTCTTTCTGGGAGATTTAGATGAGAGTCATCAGTTTCAAGCAAGAAGTCATTCCCGTTCGGAAACTAACGGAATGCAAACACAAAGGCTAAGCGATGAAAGTTCGCCGAAAAACAAAAGAAAATCTCTTCCGACTGTTCCATCACCAGAAGAAGAAAAATCCATGAATTTATCAGTGGCGAGGCAAAGATCACCTGGACCCAATTCTTCACAGGTCAAAGCCTATGGGCCATATTTTCTCGAATACACGTTAATGGCGGAATAGTAAGTAACAATTCTTTGTTTCGTTAATCTAATTTTATCCTTTGGAAATGTGCACAGCGCGTGACGATTTATGTTTTTGCGCGCTCTTATTTTGATAAATTTCACTGAAGTATGCTGTGAAACTGAATTTGCGCAGATGTTCATTTTTGCATAATTTTACACTTTTATTTTTCTCCTGGACTCTTTCACTTTCTTTCTTAGAAATGAGAAACGAGCGATGCAAAAGTAATGCGAAATAATCTATAAAGTTTCCTTTGTTTTAAAAATTACCCTTCAGCTTTTAATAGAATCAACAGGCTGTGCTAAAAAGAATACTTTTTTATACCCACATCAGAGACAAAGCCTTCATTAAACTGGATTGGATCAACTGAGACATTATCCCTACACTTTTGTCATTTAGCGGAACACATGGGGCTGATCAGATCCAGTTCAATCCAGGCTTTGTTGATGCCTTCCACCAAATTTCTGTAAAATAAGCCTGTCTTAAATAGAGATGTCCACAATTATTGTAGACATCTCTATCAAGCCAACAAAAGTGAGGTTTCCATCAGGTCCAACTTACAATAACTACCTGCTGCTTGCTGAAGTATTTTACAAGACATAATGATTAGTCGAGCTTGCTTAGCAGCGAGACTCTAAAAATGCAAGCGTTTCTTTTTTTGTATGTGTAAGCTCACAGAGGGTGGGGTCATGGTCCCAGGCATTCCTAGCAAATACCATGGAAACCGGGGATAAGAATCGTGACATGACTGACTACATATTCAGAGTGCAATGCATGTTTTGTGAAGAAAGCTTAGAAAAGATTAATGAGAAAGATGTCAAGCTTTTCAGAACAGATCGGTCAATGAATTATATCACTTGAAAGCGTTAGTTACTTTGGAACAAGTGAAATACTTCAGTGGTCGAAAAAAGAAGAATCTTTATACGCAAAACTTCCATGGTAAGGCTAACTGGTTGGGTGTTGTAAACTTTCATTGTATGTGAATGAGTCTTGTAAAGAGCATGCGGTTTATTTTCAGTGATGACTGAAATGATGCACCATGTTCATTAGTAGACAGGCACCACACATGTATCCAAGCATCCACGCTTTTGCATGCTTTGTCATACAAAAATTAAAATGGTCATGAATTCACTTTAGGCCGTTCAAATTTCTAACTATACCAGCTAAATATTTGACCTGGATTTTGGCATTCAAATTTTGAATGGTCCGGTGTCTAAATATTTACGTGGTCATTGTTTAAACAACTGGCCCATCAAGTTTTTGAATTAAAAGAAGCCTTTAACTGACTCTCAGGCTTTTATGAGAACCTGTTGGGTGTCCAACATAGTGAGTGTTTTTCGAGCTTTTTCTTGATAAACCTTCTATGGCATAGATGAAAACTTTATTAATGTTTGTAACAACTTCATCAAAGATAATTAAGTGTAAGAATGTCAAAAATTTTGAAATGAGTTTAGTTTAAATTACTGAAGTGGCATTCTTGTGTTTCTTACCAACTCACACCTGGAATGCCTCTTATTATTCCATCTCAATTTCAAGGCTGTGCTCTAAGGAAAATTGAAGGCAGCCCAGTGCTCTGAACCTGTAAAATCCAGGGTGGCCAGCATATGATTTGTATGAAAGATCTTTGATTTTCTAGTCACCCAAGAGCAAAAGTTGGGCGACATGGGCTACCAGGCTCTGCTAGCACACAGCCCTGAATTTGTTTTTGACATTTTACCCATTTTTGTTTTACCAAAGCGAAAATATGAGGTACAGCCGAGATTTTGATTTTATTGAATGCTTACCAGCGTGCAAAGAAAGTAGTGGCTAGTGGATTTTACTAGTGGGCTAGTGAATTCTGTTCTTAACTTGCCCAATGGGCAAGTGAAGTTTTTTGAGGAATTCAAATTACCAGGGCTTCTGATATTTCGCGGAAAAAAAAGCAAAATTTCACGGGATTTACAGGGGCAAATTCGTGGAAAAATCGGCCGATTTCGCGGGATTTTTCGCGGGAATAAAGTCAAAATTCGCAGAAAATTTTCGAAGGATTTTCAGAGGCAAATTTTTAGGAAAATTGCTCGATTTCAGGGGAAATTTCGGGGAGAAACTTCGCCAAGAAACAATCAGTAAAAAACAACCAATTTCGCTGGGTCTTTTTTTTGGCAAATTTCGCTAAAATCGATCAATTTTGCGTCGATATGACCAACGTTGGTGAACGTTTTTTTAAACAGGGATAATCATTTGCTCTTTCAACAACAGTTCACTCCAGAAATGAGCGAATGTTAAAGCCATTAACATTATGGTTAGTGCCCAGTTTTTCACAACGTTCCTCTAAAAACGCCTGGTAGTTTTGGGACGTTGTTTACTTGTTGCAGTGATGAAGTTTCAAGCTAAATTTGAACGTTTGGGGCGAATAAAACCGGTCTAATAGTCAAGATAAGTATTAAATATGTTTTGCCGACATGTATTTGGAAATATTTCTGGCGGATTTCGCGGTATTTCGCCTTTTTTTTGGGAATTTCGCGGGTCCGTGACCGCGCGAAATATCAGAAGCCCTGAATTACAAAAGAACTGTGAAATCAATTCTGCTCATCAAAAAGTTTTTTGGGCTAGTTGAAATGACGTTTGGGCTAGTATATGCTAGCCTCAGCTTGCCCAAATGGCAAACTGTAAAAATGACTTTCTTTGCACCCTGCTTACACAGGGTTGTCAGAAAGTTTTGAAGTAGACGGCTGAGTTGTCAAAGTAAGCGGCCAGTCCAGGGATATTTTATTTCAAATCCCATCCGTAAAGAAAATAATGCTAAGCAGAGTAGCTGGCTGATACTAACCAAGTAGGTAGCGATTTTCGCTGGCAGCCGGCTACTTTTGACAATCCTGCTTTAATATACAAGATTTCTCTTATAGATCTATTCATTTTCCAACCAACCCTTTTTCTGTTTTATTATAATTATTATTATTACTTCTGTATTTCCACAAATTAAATCAGAGCAACACAATTAAGATGAGTTTTGTCAGATTAAGAACACTCATGGAGCATAATTTTTTTATGTACTAGTTGTGTTTATGAATATCATGAGTTTTTTTGACATACAATTGTAATATATTATCTTTGACAACTTGATCTTTGCAGTAATCAGCTTAGAAGTCAAAGGCTACCAGGAGTTTATGTTCTTCCAGCGGCCAAGTCCCCTCTAAGTGAGTATTATGTTTTTAAGAAATTGTGCTGAAAATTTAAAGTCAAGTTAGCAAAGATATCAAAGGTTTAGTATGTTTTGAACAGGGTTGTAAAAAGTAGCCGGCTGCCAGCAAAAATCGCCACCCACTTGGCTAGTGTCAGCTGGCTACTCTGCTGAGCATTTCTTTATGGATGGCATTTTTTAAATAAAATATCCCTGGACTGGCCACTTACTTTGACAACTCGGCCATCTACTTCAAAACTTTTTGACAACCCCGATTCTAGTATTAAGTAATGATCCGGGTAAGGTGGATAGCAATTTAAAAATTTAAAATAGATCAGGTAAAAAATAGCAAAAAAACTGAACAAGCTGAGTAGGTAGTATAATTAAATTACATTTTATAGGTTTGTGATACAATGAAGATAAACAGGAAAATAACTTAATTTAGAATAACTTAACAGTACTGAAAAATAAATAAATTCATACTACTACGTGAAAAATGTCTGCAATTTGATTGGCTTAGAGCAGTGGCATTTCATGTTAATTTGAAATACGTACATGTGAAAATTACAAACCTCTTGCGGGTAGTAATAGCATGATTTGTATGTGATATTTGGCATAAATACTACTCGTGCTATTTCAAAGTTGTCTCAAACTTTATTCGCCTAACTGCTCATGAAATTATATTTAACAATTTTGAAATATCACTCGTGGTATATATGCCAAATATCAACCCCTACAAATCATGCTACATGTATTACCTATACTAATCAATTAGTTGATAAAAATAAAATAGAAGAAAAAGAAGATGAAAACTATAGCAAAACCTACAAAATTGGCAGAGCCGCCAAAGGGCCACCATAAGCGCATGACAACCGCTGACCTTATTCAGGATTTAATAGCGAATTTTTCTTCTGTTTTCAGTCTGGTATGGTGTAATTTTTATCAGGATGGGTTCCTATCAAGATGGTATTTTTAAGTTTGTTATGAAGATTCCAGAAAATTTCCCAGATGGTGACTGCCCTGTAAGTTATGTATTTAGACAATACTATTACCGGTCAAGTGTACTCCCATTGGTTCCTTTTATGTATTGATTGTTTGGAAAATGAATCCATGAGTAGTTGCCGCAACCCGTATCAAATTCAAATCTGCATTTCCTACATGCACAATGATCAGTACATTTTTTACTTCATCTTCTCAGTATTCATTCACATTGAAAAATCCTTGCGGATGGATAAAATATTATTGCTTTGAAGAAATTTTTGTCAGAGTTTAGAAAAACTGAGCAGGCAGAAATTTAAGAACCTCTTTGCATGTGAATTCACTGCTCAAGAATGCAGGGATGAATCTGAAATTTCAAATAATAGATTCAAGAATGGAATCCTAGGGGGTTCGCTTGACCTGGCTTGACTGTACTACACAGATTTGATTATTCAATGGTACCATGTTACTCTTGGCCTTTGCCAATGTTATTGTAATAATTTATTGTTATACAGCTTTGCCTTGATTTAAATCTAGCCTGGTTTACCTTCAATAACATCTTATTTTTATGATTTTTCGTCCCAGAGTGTTATATTTAAACCCCCTGTGTTTCATCCTGTGATTAATATGGAAACAGGAGAGTTGGATGTCAAAAGAAATTTTCCAAAATGGAGGTAAGAATTATGACTTAAAAAACAGCACCATATCAGATTATGCTTTTTATTCTTCATTTTATCTTGGACATTTCCCTTGAATTTAATCCCAAGAGTACCTATAATTAAAAAATCCATTCAAAAGCACTATTAACAAGCTTTCATTTATTCACTGAGTTTGTCACCAAACTCAAAACGAAGATTAACGTTATGTTTCTGTTCATCTTCCCATCGTTGAGAACACTATTTGAATGTATTTGTGTCTTCTGGTGAAATGCTTGATTCTTCCTACAAATAGCCTTCTGTGTGCTTGTGAACCATAAGGAGAATTTGTTATTAAGGTGGCTCGACTGGATTTTTTGGGGTTGATACCTCCCAAGTTTGATCATTAACTACGTCGGCATGAGTAAAGATATGGAAAAAAGGTTACCACAACTGTATTATATAAAGATGAAAATTTCTTATGATCTGGGTTTTATTGCAATCGGAGTCGCCATGGCAACGTAATGACACCATTACGTTTTTCATTTATTGTTGTGTTTCCCTGTACCAGGAGTTTTTTGAAGAAATCGCTTAAGGGAGTATGTACCTGCCATAATTGCCTCCATTATGGCAAAGTTTGAAGAAATTCTATGAGAGCGTTTTCGAGATATTTCGAAATGCAGTTTTAACAATCATCAAAGCAGTGAAATAGCATGCTAGCAGCTCAATTCGCTAATATTTTAAGAAAATGATAAGCTTTGGGAACGCAGCTTCATCTCTTAGTGGTTTGATTCCATTGAAAACTGCATACAAAAAAAGAGGGGAATTGCTCTGGGCGATCGCGAGTAAGAAGAATTTTATTAACTTGCATTCAGCTGCTTTTGATACAGTTTTTGGAGGTAATTTGGTCCATGCCTAAAAATTTCGCATTTTTCCAAAAACCGCTCGATAAATTTTTTTATAAATTCGACAATTCCGAGATCAGTCGTCAAGAAATATTCCCTGCAAGTTTCAAGAACATTGAAAACAGGGAAGGCTTTTAAATAGGGACTCCAACATAACCAATTTTCCCCCCAGATTTTGTGTTCACAAGTGAGCGTCCTTATTATTCACTGGCATTGTTTTCAAGTTTCATATGCACGTGCACAAGTAGCAAAAGATATAAATTTGCATCAAAAATTACTTTCCGAAGAAATATCCGGTATATGCTAATAATTGGCTTGTAGTCACAGATAGCAATGAGAGCCGAAACGGTGAACGTCACGGCTCATCGTGTAGGAAGCAATACTTAATTATCTTAATTGGGTTATAACATCACAGAAACTCTCACAAAGAATTGCTCTGATGTTATAATGTATCACTAACCTCTTTACCCGGTAATTAGCATATCCCGGAGCTTTAACCGAGGGTCCTTTTTGATGCAAATTCTATCTTTTTGCTAAATGTGCACGTGTATATGAAACTTGAAAACAATGCCAGTGAATAATAAGGACGCTCGCTTGTAAACACAAAATCTGGGGGGAAAATTGGCTATATTTGAGGCCCTATTTAAAAGCCTTCCCCGTTTTCAATGTTCTTAAAACTTGCAGAGAATATTTCTTGACGATTGATCTCGGAATTGTCGAATTTATAAAAAAATTTATCGAGCGGTTTTTGGAAAAATGCGAAATTTTTAGGCGTGGACCAAATTACCTCCAAAAACTGTATCAAAAGCATCTGAATGCAAGTTAATAAAATCCTTCTTACTCGCGATCGCCCAGAGCAATTCCCCTCTTTTTTTGTATGTAGTTTTCATTGGAATCAATCCACTATCAGATGAAGCCGCGTTCCCAAAGCTTATCATTTTCTTAAAATATTAGCGAATTGTGCGGCTAGCATGCTATTTCACTGTTTTTATGATTCTTAAAACTGCATTTCAAAATATTTCGAAAACGCTCTCATAGAATTTCTTCAAACTTTGCCATAATGGAGGCAATTATGGCAGGTACATACTCCCTTAAGCGATTTCTTCAAAAAACTCCTGGTACAGAGAAACACAAAGATAAATGAAAAACGAAATGACGTCATTACGTTGCCATGGCGACTCCGATTGCAATAAAACCCAGATCATAAAAAATTTTCATCTTTATGTAATACAGTTGTGGTAACCTTTTTTCCATATCTTTACTCATGCCGACGTAGTTAATGCTCAAACTTGGGAGGTATCAACCCCAAAAAATCCAGTCGAGCCACCTTAAATCGGGTGTCACCAAGGTCCTTATTGTGCACAAGCATGATGTAATATTGTACAGTTTGGCTCATGCAAAGAATGCTTTGTTACAGTTATGAACCTCACCATGAGACAAGAGAATATAACAATCAAACTCATTTCAATGTTGGAAACAAACTCACCCCAAAAAGTGCATAGATGGTTTTCACAGAGACGTTGTCAAATTGTAAAGTCAAAATAGCGGGGCTTTACGAATTCTTATTTACACTAGGTTGAAGATAAACAAAAAGTGAATCTTTTTACAAGTTTCCATTCCCGCAGCACATTTCATTTAAAAAATACAGCAATTTGAACTTCTGAGTTTTCACAGTGCATGACACCAAAATAAGAATGCTCTCTGAAAAAAGTCTCTCCTCTTGATTTTCAGCAGTATAACCATTTCAAGTATTAGATAATATTTTTATACGTATGTATGCTAGTTCTGGAGTGAAAAGAAAGAGCTTAATAAAAAAAAATATAGAAAAAGTGAACTCCAGATGTTTTTATTGATTTCTGGTGCCCATATTGGTGCACCAAAATGGTACACCAATTGATATGGCATCTCGATACAAAGCTCTACACGTTTTGGCAAATAACTCAGAAACTGTGGGCCATGAAGACCTGACCTGTCGCGTGACAGTGAAAATGATCTATAAGCTGTGTTTCTGTGAGATAGAAAGCAACATCTCTAGTCTCAATTAAGGCCCACATTAACCTTGCAGGCATTGTGTGTTAAGGAAATTTTTGTTTTATTTCATTATTTTGAAATTCAGGCAATCCAATTTTGTCACCAACAATCAGATGAGAACACTGGAAAATGAAAACTTCTCACAAAATGTCAACTTCAGAGTCAGAAAGCCTGTTAGTCCTTAAATAAACAAATTATTCATTTTTTTATTCATTTATTTATTTATTTATTTTTTCAGGAGAAATATAAATCACTTGTGTCAAGTGCTACTCTATGCTAGGAGAATATTTTATAAAATTGACATGAAAAATCCCTTAAATCCTGAAGCTGCTCACTTGTAAGTTTCTATAATACGTGTATTTTTAACTACTATTAAAACTAAAATGAAATTCATTTACTTGTTACTTGCAAACTCAGAAAATCACAAACACCAGAAATGTTTACATACCCTATGTAGGAATGGTGATAGTGTGGTGACCAATCACAAGAAAGATCAGTCATGACACATGAGCAAACAACAAAATTTTGAATTAATTAAGGCTGGAACACACTAGGCCACACGTCAGTACAACTCATTGCGCCCACAAGTCACTCCTTATGTGCAGGTGAGGTGAGAAAATGTGCAACAATTTGCAGCAACAAATCGCTTGATTTTTGCAACTTGTCGCAGCAACAAATTTCCATTGCACAGACAAAGATTTTCACAAACATTTTGCCAGTACACACAAAGCATTTTCTCACTGACGTGTCACCGCAACGTGTTGCTGCTAATTTTCTCCTAGTGTGTTCAGACCTGGCTTTATTATTGCTGTTTGTGGTTTTGTTTTTCTATGCCTGATGAACTGTTTTAGCACAAACACAGAAGTAGTTGTGGTGTTGATGGTTCTTTGAGTTTCACAGTAAATCTGAAATTCATGTCTTGGACATGTTTTAACCAACATGCTTCTTGTAGAACTAGAACATATTTCCATGTGGAATTCAACTTTCCCTAAGTTACATTACACTACATTGTTTTAAATTGTGTTGTACTACATGATACTACATTGAACTGGATTGTTCAAGAGTGGGTCAGCATCGCATTGCACTGCATTGCACAGGGTACTGCACTGTATTGAATTGTGTTGAATTTCATGGCAATACATTAAATTGGATTACTTTAGACTGGTTAAGCATTACATTGCACTGCATATACCCTGCGAGCAGAGGCTACATTTTCGCTGTGTGAGCTGGCATGCGAAAAGTAGCCTCTGCCGACAACCGTTCAAATCTGTCCAGAAATCTGGATGAATAAATAAAAAAAAACGGTTTTTTTCCTGTTCATGATTGGTTTAGAGCATTGCGTGAGTCTTGCTTAGCAGATCAGAGTTGTTGCAATTTTTTTATTCCCGCAAAACTCGCGCCATTTGACGACAGACCTGACGATTAATTTTGCTTATGAATCGCGTGACGTATTTCACATATGCACAATAGAAAATTGAACGGTTGTCAGCAAGGGCTACTTTGTGCATGCCAGCTCACACAGCAAATTTAGCCTCTGCTCACAGGGTACACTGCATACTGCATTGTATTGATTTTGTGTTGGATTGCGTGATATTTCATTGAACTGGATTGCTTAAGAGGGGTTTACCGTAGCACCAAATTGCATTGCAATGCATACTGTACTGTACTGTACTAAATTGTGGGTTTGCATGCATGTAATACTACATTGAGCTGGATTGCTTTAGATTGGGTCAGCATTGCATTACATTGCAGTGCATACTGAACTTTATTGAATCTTGTTGAATTGCATGACAATACACTGAACCACATGTAGATTGCTTTTAACTGAGTCAGATTGCACTGTACTTATTATGCTTGATTGCATGGCAGCACATTGGGTTAATGTATTAGATTGGGTCAGGCTGCATTGCTTTGCATAGCATTGTACTGCTGTTGTAAAACTGTGTTTTTTCTCTGTTCAATCCACAGATATGAAAATGATAGGGATGCCTTTAAACAGAAAGTAAACATTTCATTAAGGACATGTCTGAATGAGCTTCATTTACCACTAGCAGATGATCCTCATGCTATTAGGTGAGGTCAAGATGCTTTTTAAAAATCCTTAATGTGTACAAACTTTGCTAGCTTGCATAGCTGGCAGTTTGTGTGTGTGTGTGTGTTTGTTTTTCCTTTTAAGTTTCGTAAAGTAAGAGATACTGGTGGTGTGGTCTACCTTTCACGCATCAAACATCTTTCATATCATGTGTTCTACGGGTGGGTTACAGTAAGCCCATAATGAACTGATAGCGGCTGCCAGTTGCGCCCTTGTATGCTGACGTCCAAAGTTACTGTTAACATGCTAATATGTAGAGTACCCATCTTGTTGTCCTCAAATCCACGACATTACATTACGTTACATTACATTACCACAAAACTTTTGTAGTCACTGAATTTCCTCATTTCTGCTCTGGGTGTCCTTTGTTTACGCAGTGCATTTTCTGAAAATTGAAATTGTCAAGTGGAATGTGTTTTTGATTTTTTCCAAAAATCTTATTTACAACTAACCATGTGACTTTTCTCAACATACATTATTAGCCTACAAAATGAAAAAAGCACTTGTAAAGCATAAAATACACTTGCCCGTACCCTCCTATTCTTTGAAAAACTTTGCTCATGCTTAGCTGTCTATTCCAATTTGAACTTAAATTATCTGATACAGGTCACTTTTCCACAGGTCAGAGTACAGGTCACCATGATACAGATAAATGAACAGCATTCAAAGTGTCTCCTAGCCCTAATCTCTTAACAAAATGCTGTGTTCAGCCAAGTGCTGTTTTTTGGGAAAATTCAGATTACAGAAGGATTGTAATCAATCGTGCTTATCAAAAAGGGTTTAGGGGCTAGTTGAAATTATTTGTGGGCTAGTACATGCTAGCTACAGCTTGCCCGAATGGCAGGCTGTAAAACTTACTTTCTTTGCACCCTGCTATTAGATCGAGGGGAATGTGACCTGTATTTTAGACCCGGCCCTGACTTCCTTAATTGTTGTTGTTATTTTTTTAAAAATGTCATAACGCTCTCCTTTACCTTGGTTTATTTTATTTTATTTCTTTTTTTTCAGATTTGTTGAACTTACCCCAGATCAACATGATGAGTATAAAACCCAAATGATCAATAATCAGGTAAAGTGGATGACTTAATTTGTTCCAGGGAGTACTAAAAATGACAGGAAAGCAGCGTTGCAGCTTGCTTTATAGAGAAGACAAGTGATGACATCACAAAAAACTAAATTTGTGAAATTATTGGATTGGTTGGCATATCATGAAAGAACAAGATGAAAAATATCCACTTGCCAAAAATGAACCTGTTAGTGCAAATTGGTGGGGAGATATTATTCATATAACCACCATTGTGCTTAGTAATTATTATAAATCCTTCTAAAATTGGTATAGATCGTTCACATTACGATCCATACCAATATTAGAAGGATTTGTGTGGGAGTCATCAGCCACCAATTTGCACTAACAGGCTGATTTTCGGCAAGAGGGGTTTTTTCATCATGTTCTCTCTGGATAGGCTAACCATTCCCATAATTTCACAAATTTGAATTTAGGGACGTGACTTCTCTCTTCTCTATAAAACTTAGGCTTCATTAAATATGGCATCAGTTTTGGCAGAAAGCTGAATCCAGATTTGAGCCCAGTATCGAGCATACATATCACTTAGTGTCTATTTGAAGCGAAAATTATTTGTGATGTGTTGAGTGGAATTAAATTGACGATTTTATGAGCGCTCAAAGTTAACCTTTGTTTTGCCCGGGAAATGGTTTTCGGATCGCTCGGCCAAAATCCCTCGTGATTTTGAACTGATTGTTTGCATCGAGAATTACTCAAAACAAGTATGGCGAGAGTAAAATGAGAAGCGTCGGAGAGGACGATATTGTTTGGATTGTAGATACATCATGTAAATTACAGTTGGGTTATATTTTGGAATTTTTTACTTCAGTCAGATGTCATAAGTAGTTGGAATATGAGTGTCCGAAACTGTGCGGTAGTCATGACATATTCAGAGTCAAAGTGTTGTTATGATCGCCGGTGTCAAAACCTGGATCGGATCGGACCGGATCGGAACGGATCAACACCTATAATCCTATCCCTTTAAACCTTTTGCCGTTTTAAGGGTGATTTCCAACACTTGATCCAATCCGGTCCGATCCAGGTTTTGGCCACGTCTTCTTATGACATGACTCCTGGGTTCAAACCAGGGCGGAAGGAGCCGCTCGTTCGAGTCCTATTCCGCAGCACACATCACTTGAACAGCGGAGGCTCGTTTCATCGCTCAACCTTTATCCGCCCTTGTTCAAACCATTTACGGTTCAGTCAGGCACGTTACAGCTGACTTTAATAATTTTCTCCATCTCCGTGCCTTTGTTTTATTTTATAGAATGAATGAATTATAGAGTGAATTATATGAAAGTAAACGTGATCTTCGAAGATGAATGAACAACCTAAGCGGTTGAAAAAGAACATGAAAAAATTCAGGCTTGACCGGGAATCAAGCCAACTGTAGAGCAAGTCATTGTACGTTCGTAATATACTTGATGGTACCGAACTTACAATGACTTGCTCTCCAGTTGGCTTGATTAGCTCAATGGATAGAGCATTGCGTCCGGCCATCGCAAAGGTCATGGTTCGATTCCCAATCAAGCCGGAATTTTTTCAGGTTCTCTTTCAACCGTTTAGGTTGATCATTCTGCCGCGAGGATCATGTTCACTTTCATTTCTTCATCCGCAGCTCAAAAATTGATCCATTTCATATATTTCAATTCAGAATCAATTATATTAAAAAATTATTAGATTCGGCTTTTGTGATAATCTACACGTTTTGGCAAATAACTCAGAAACTGTGGGCCATGAAGACCTGACCTGTCGCGTGACAGTGAAAATGATCTATAAGCTGTGTTTCTGTGAGATAGAAAGCAACATCTCTAGTCTCAATTAAGGCCCACATTAACCTTGCAGGCATTGTGTGTTAAGGAAATTTTTGTTTTATTTCATTGTTTTGAAATTCAGGCAATCCAATTTTGTCACCAACAATCAGATGAGAACACTGGAAAATGAAAACTTCTCACAAAATGTCAACTTCAGAGTCAGAAAGCCTGTTAGTCCTTAAATAAACAAGTTATTCATTTTTTTATTCATTTATTTATTTTTTTTTTTTTTCAGGAGAAATATAAATCACTTGTGTCAAGTGCTACTCTATGCTAGGAGAATATTTTATAAAATTGACATGAAAAATCCCTTAAATCCTGAAGCTGCTCACTTGTAAGTTTCTATAATACGTGTATTTTTAACTACTATTAAAACTAAAATGAAATTCATTTACTTGTTACTTGCAAACTCAGAAAATCACAAACACCAGAAATGTTTACATACCCTATGTAGGAATGGTGATAGTGTGGTGACCAATCACAAGAAAGATCAGTCATGACACATGAGCAAACAACAAAATTTTGAATTAATTAAGGCTGGAACACACTAGGCCACACGTCAGTACAACTCATTGCGCCCACAAGTCACTCCTTATGTGCAGGTGAGGTGAGAAAGTGTGCAACAATTTGCAGCAACAAATCGCTTGATTTTTGCAACTTGTCTCAGCAACAAATTTCCATTGCACAGACAAAGGTTTTCACAAACATTTTGCCAGTACACACAAAGCATTTTCTCACTGACGTGTCACCGCAACGTGTTGCTGCTAATTTTCTCCTAGTGTGTTCAGACCTGCCTTTATTATTGCTGTTTGTGGTTTTGTTTTTCTATGCCTGATGAACTGTTTTAGCACAAACACAGAAGTAGTTGTGGTGTTGATGGTTCTCTGAGTTTCACAGTAAATCTGAAATTCATGTCTTGGACATGTTAAAACCTACATGCTTCTTGTAGAACTAGAACATATTTCCATGTGGAATTCAACTTTCCCCAAGTTACATTACACTACATTGTTTTAAATTGTGTTGTACTACATGATACTACATTGAACTGGATTGTTCAAGAGTGGGTCAGCATCGCATTGCACTGCATTGCACAGGGTACTGCACTGTATTGAATTGTGTTGAATTTCATGGCAATACATTAAATTGGATTACTTTAGACTGGTTAAGCATTACATTGCACTGCATATACCCTGCGAGCAGAGGCTACATTTTCGCTGTGTGAGCTGGCATGCGAAAAGTAGCCTCTGCCGACAACCGTTCAAATCTGTCCAGAAATCTGGATGAATAAATTTAAAAAAAACGGTTTTTTTCCTGTTCATGATTGGTTTAGAGCATTGCGTGAGTCTTGCGTAGCAGATCAGAGTTTTGTTGCAATTTTTTTATTCCCGCAAAACTCGCGCCATTTGACGACAGACCTGACGATTAATTTTGCTTACGAATCGCGTGACGTATTTCACATATGCACAATAGAAAATTGAACGGTTGTCAGCAAGGGCTACTTTGTGCACGCCAGCTCACACAGCAAATTTAGCCTCTGCTCACAGGGTACACTGCATACTGCATTGTATTGATTTTGTGTTGGATTGCGTGATATTTCATTGAACTGGATTGCTTAAGAGGGGTTTACCGTAGCACCAAATTGCATTGCAATGCATACTGTACTGTACTGTACTAAATTGTGGGTTTGCATGCATGTAATACTACATTGAGCTGGATTGCTTTAGATTGGGTCAGCATTGCATTACATTGCAGTGCATACTGAACTTTATTGAATCTTGTTGAATTGCATGACAATACACTGAACCACATGTAGATTGCTTTTAACTGGGTCAGATTGCACTGTACTTATTATGCTTGATTGCATGGCAGCACATTGGGTTAATGTATTAGATTGGGTCAGGCTGCATTGCTTTGCATAGCATTGTACTGCTATTGTAAAACTGTGTTTTTTCTCTGTTCAATCCACAGATATGAAAATGATAGGGATGCCTTTAAACAGAAAGTAAACATTTCATTAAGGACATGTCTGAATGAGCTTCATTTACCACTAGCAGATGATCCTCATGCTATTAGGTGAGGTCAAGATGCTTTTTAAAANACTGTGTTTTTTCTCTGTTCAATCCACAGATATGAAAATGATAGGGATGCCTTTAAACAGAAAGTAAACATTTCATTAAGGACATGTCTGAATGAGCTTCATTTACCACTAGCAGATGATCCTCATGCTATAAGGTGAGGTCAAGATGCTTTTTAAAAATCCTTAATGTGTAAGAACTTTGCTAGCTTGCATAGCTGGCAGTTTGTGTGTGTGTGTGTGTTTGTTTGTTTTTCTTTTAAGTTTCATAAAGTACGAGATACTGATGGTGTGGTCTACCTTTCATGCACACATCTTCCATATCATATGGGCTATGGGTGGGTTACAGTAAGCGCATAATGAATTAACTGATAGCGGCTGCCAGTAATGTGCCCTTGTATGTCAATGTCCGAGCTTACATTTAACACTTAAAGAGCGTCCATCTTGTTGTCCTCTAATCCACAACATTACAAATTACATTACATTACATTACCACAAAACTTTTGTAGCACTGAATTTCCTGTGCATTTTCTGAAAATTGAAATTGTCAAGTGGAATGTGTTTTTGATTTTTTCCAAAAATCTTATTTACAACTAACCATATGACTTTTCTCAACATACAGTATTACCCTACAAAATGAAAAAAGCACTACCCTCCTATTCTTTGCGAAAACTTTGCTCGTGCTTAGTTGTTTATTCCAATTTGAACTTAAATTATCTGATACAGGTCACCATGATACAGATAAATGAACAGCATTCAAAGTGTCTCCTAGCCCTAATCTCTTAACAAAAAAATGTATTCGGCATGAAAGTATTGTCTGATAGCTCGGGGCTAGTGGATTTTGCTATCGGGCTAGTGTTTTTTGTTCTTAACTTGCCAGACAGGCAAGTGCTTTTTAGGGGGGAAATTCAGATTACAGAAGGATTGTAATCAATCATGCTAATCAAAAAGGGTTTTGGGGCTAGTTGAAATTACTTGTGGGCTAGTGCATGCTAGCTACTGAGTTTGCCCAAATGGCAGGCTGTAAAACTGACTTTCTTTACCCCCTGCTATTAGATCAAGGGGAGACTGTGTGGTGTGGTATTATCGATGGAGCAGTGATCTGTACCCTTGACCTGTGGAATGTGGCCTGTACTTTAGACCTGGCCCCGACTTCCTTAATTGTTGTTGTTATTGTTTTTTAAATTGTCGTAACTCTCTCCTTTACCTTGGTTTATTTTATTTTATTTCTTTTTTTTCAGATTTGTTGAACTTAGCCCAGATCAACATGATGAATATAAAACCCAAATGATCAATAATCAGGTAAAGTGGATGACTTAATTTGTTCCAGGGAGAACTAAAAATGACAGGAAAGCAGCGTTGCAGTTTGCTTTACAGAGAAGACAAGTGATGACTTCACAAAAACTAAATTTGTGAAATTATTGGATTGGTTGGCATATCCAGAAAGAACAAGATGAATAATGTTCACTTGCCAAAAATGAGCCTGTTAGTGCAAATTGGTGGGGAGACTTGTATTATTCATATAACCATCGTTATGCTTAGGTGACTCCATAATTATTATAAATCCTTCTAAAATTGGTATCGATCGTTGACATTACGATCCAAACCAATGCTAGAAGGATTTGTGTGCAAGTATCAGCCACCAATTTGCACTAACAGGCTGATTTTTGGCAAGAGGGGTTTTTTCATCATGTTCTCTCTGGATAGGCTAACCATTCCGACAATTTCACAAATTTGAATTTAGTGACGTGACTTCTCTCTTCTTTATAAAACTTGGGCTTCATTAAATATGGCATCAGTTTTGGCAGAAAGCTGAATCCAGATTTGAGCCCAGTATCGAGCATACATATCACTTAATGTCTATTTAAAGCGAAAATTATTTGTGATGTGTTGAGTGGAATTAAATTGACGAATTTATGAGCGCTCAAAGTTAACCTTTATTTTGCCCGGAAAATAGTTTCGGATTGCTCAGCCAAAATCCCTCGCGATTTTGAACTGATTGTTTGTATCGAGAATTACTCAAAACAAGTATTGCGAAGAGTAAAAATGAGAAGCGTTGGAGAGGACGATACTGTTTGAATGGTAGATACATCATGTAAGTTGCGTTTGAGTTATATTTTGGAATTTTTTGCTTCAGTCAGTTATCATAATGTCCGGAACAGTGCGGTACTCATGACATATTCAGAGTCAAAGTGTTCGGATCGGATCAACTCCTATAATCCTCTCCCTTTAAACCTGGTGATTTCCAACACTTGATCCAATCCGGTCCGGTCGAGGTTTGTCCACACCTTCTTATGACATGACTCCGGGGTTCAAACCAGTGTGAAAAGAGACGCTCATTCCAGTCCTATTCCGCATCACACGTCACCTGAACAGCGGAGGCTCGTTTCATCGCCCGACCTTTATCCGCCCTGGTTCAAACCATTTACGGTTCAGTCAGGCACGTCAATTTTCTCTGTGTCGGTGCCTTTATTTTATTTTATAGAATGAATGAATTATAGAATGAATTATATGAAAGTAAACGTGATCTTCGCAGTCGTATGAACAACCTAAGCGGTTGAAAAAGAACCTGTAAGAATTCAGGCTTGATCGGGAATCAAGCCAACTGTAGAACGAGTCATTGTAAGTTCGTAATATACCTGATGGTAACGAACTTACAATGACCTGCTCTCCAGTTGGCTTGATTAGCTCAATGGATAGAGCATTGCGTCCGGCCATCGCAAAGGTCATGGTTCGATTCCCAATCAAGCCTGAATTTTTTCAGGTTCTCTTTCAACCGTTTACGTTGATCATTCTGCCGCGAGGATCATGTTCACTTTCATTTCTTCATCCGCAGCTCAAAAATTGATCCATTTCATATATTTCAATTCAGAATCAATTATATTAAAAAATTATTAGATTCGGCTTTTGTGATATTAGGAATAATATGGGTCAAGGTAAGTGTTATCAGTCAAAGCCGATACTAAGACCTTGATTATTACGATTTTGCCTCCACTGCACAACCGAACACACAAAACAACACTTGAAGGCATGGGCGCGTTGGTCAGCCAGGCCCATGAAACACTTTATTAACTCACGTGAAAAACTCCACTGTTACAGTAATTCTAAGAACACGCCACAGCCGGACTCGTAAAACCGAAAAACCCAACTATTGGAAAAATAGGGACCGTGTAACCCCAAACTATGCTATGGCGTCGCCTTTGGGGTTAAAAGGCAAAACTAATAAATAAAGTCTAATAACATGACTACGAGCAGAAAACGAGGTGCTACATAAAACAGCTAAGGAACATAGGGACCAGTACAGATGGTAACGAAATTAAGGCTAACAGAATAAGCGAAAACTAAACTTTACAAAGCAAGTTGACGCTGCGAGGCCGACCGTAGAATGACACGCATAACTAAACGGTCGCTAAATCAAACCCCCTAACCGCGATCCCTCGCGCGCTACACTTGAACCCAGCTCTCCGTTCCGTGCAAGCAAAATAGTAATTTATGTCAATTCTAATTTACACAAATTACATGATATCACAAAAGCCGAATAATTAAACATGACGAAAATAATGGCAAACGCACCGTCGCACGGAACACAGTTTGACATCGCTCTTGTTAATCATGCATTGCGCTCACATCCTACAGATTAGTCATTTGTCTGCCAGCCGATAGCTACCTAATCTGTAGATTGCGCTGATTCCCAAAATTATCTGTAGGCTCTTAGCCATTAAGAAGACTGATAGAGAGTACAATGTATGATGATTTTTTTATTATTATTTCACAGAGTAAACCAGAGAGTCTTCCAACTGCTAATGCACATAAATCAGGATTATCATGGATGAAGAAAGGATCCAATCAGATTTTTAGCAAACAAGAAAGCTAGCCCGTCTTATTTTACATGCATGAGTCACGTGATCCATTCTGTCAAGTAAAGTGAAAGAGTATTTCAGAACTTTTTAAAACCTTTGTAAATTAAGAAATAATCGTTGCGAAAACATCCTGTAAGTTTGACCTCGATCAAACGAGAAAAATTCGTTGAAATCAAGGAACCTTTTTCAAAGTTAAGGCCAATTATTTCATTGCTGGTACAGTTCAAAATTTGATGCTTGGCCAGTACCCCGTTAGCCTGTTCTGGGCGTTCAGTTTGTGGGGACGGTGAAAGAGAAGTGAACAGGAAAAACAGCGAGGGGGTGGGGTAGGTGGTGAGAGCGAGTTCTCTCCCTCCCCTCCCCCCGCTCTCCCCATCTACCTCTCTTCCTCCTTATTTTTTCCCGCTCTCTGACTTCGCATCACACTCTACTATCTAAACCTCTGGATCAGGCTAGTATCCCGTTGATTTACTTAAGTTTTCTGGATTTTGTTTGAGAACGTGACATGAGTCACATTCAAGACAGGCAATTTTACAGAAAAGTGTTTTCCCTGGTGAATAACATCTTTCAACTTTCCTTCATTTTGAATAGGACCCTTCATGTACTTGAATGTACTTCATGTTCATGCGTCAAATTAAATTTCCTTATGTGCGGAGCATTTAATATACGTGACTATATTCGTTTAATTGAGATAGCGAAAATACCTTGACTTTTACCGAATATTTTGTATTTTCTTGTTCATGTTTCTCTTCCCTGTAAACGAAATTCCCCGAACGAGGCGTCTGATCGCGATTACCTTACAGGCAAACTGGCGAGGGAGGGGTAAGGTGAGGAGTAGGTGTAGGCGATGCGTCCCGTTCCTACCCTCCTAAACACTTTCTCGTTCAACCTCAAGCGAGCTTGCTTGCAGGCCTTTGCAAACAAGAGAATACTTTATAAGCTGTTGGCATGCAAAAAGTTTTCGAATTTTTTAGGCCTTGTATACTATAGTCACTTGGTTGACTCTTGTAGAACCACTATTTCTATCAGACTGAGTGATTGCTGTATTGAGATGCTGTCTGGAGTGACAATAACTGTGATTACCTTCAACTTTGAATAAGCTAAAGTGATCTCAATACAGTTAAGGACTCCATTGAAACTCTCAGAATTCAAGTCAAGCTCGAGTAAATAACTAGTGTTGATGATTTAGTTCCCATTTGAAGGGCATTGAAAAAATGTACGGTACAATTCAACAACAAACAACAACATCTTTATTAATCGCAAGAGTTAGTACATCCACATACACACGTGCCTACATTTAGCGAATGGTAGTCGAGGCAGGCAAGAATCTGCAAGACTTCAATTACATATTTATTTTAAAGTGAATTTCATTTATAGTCAAGTCGAATAAAGGAAAGTTTGTTTACTCATGAGCTTGACATATTCAACTAATCAGAATAGCGTAACCTTGCTTTCTCGGTTTGCCCTCATTAAACCTTTTCTTTGATTATATCGTTGATTTGGTGCGTGCTTTCCTCTGGTCTCTTACTCAACTGTTTAGTTGTATTTCTTGTCACGCAACGCTGCTTCCCAAAGAGGAGAGGAGCATTGCGTGACGAGACGTAAGAAACTGCATGCTCGAGCTCGATATTTCTTTTAGAATTAGAGACTTTTTTTCGCTAAAGCATTGTCAACAGCTTGGTTTTTCTAGCCAAAAGAATATCGCAAAATCGCGGTCAAATTTCCCTAATTTCTCTGCAAACTAAAATGCTCTCTTACAATTCCACTTTATTTTATAATTCTGAAGGAAAAAAGAAACTGGAGATTTATTGAGATTTCAATTAAGAGTGAAAAGAATTGTAAAAAATGAATTTTGTGTGCCTTACTTAAAGTATTCCCTCCTCTTTCCCATAATTGTTTTCAGTACACCTCGTTGTTCGATGACTCTAAGTTGTACTGATATTGGTTACTGATTTAATATAAATTAATTGTAAAATATTTTTAGCAATGATCGAATAAGGAATATAGCAAATTGTACAAAAATGTCAATAAAATATTAGTAAGCGTAACCCATTAAGCTCTGTTTGTAATTGATGGCAATTTCTAATTTGTCAGTAGCTGATAACGTACTTTAAAAATTTCTGACCCGTGATCAGGTGGTCCTCATTCTCTTTTGTTTGGGAGACGGAAAAAAAAAACTGCCTGATCGCAGGTTGAAAATTTTCACGCGTAAATAATCAAGTAATTTCAAGCGAAACACTATATCTTGAGATTAAGGCATAATGCCAGTATTAAAGTTATTTTAAGCATGTTTAGGTTTGTATTGCAGTGCTAGTTCCTTTTTTTTTTTTTTCCAGCCAACGTCTGTTAGAAAATACATAGTTGATAAATGGGTGGATATCTTAGGAATTGAATACCTCAGGCGACCAAAAAAGACTCTCGCCTAGTGCATTTTGGCCTAGTTGAAGGCGTAATTACCTCATTATACCCGGTTTCATGGGCATTTACGTGTTATTTATTTTATTTCATTTTATTTTCAAAAGTAGTTTAGTATGTTGATATAACGAAAATCAGGAACTCCGGCGAGAATATATACATACAAGGAAAAACAAATACAAAAAGAGGTAAAAACTGTCAAAAATGATTACACAAAATACCCAATAAGATCGGACGAGATAATAAGGATGTTAACTAAAAGATAATTGATCTATATCCATGCGGCCAATAGGAACTTCTTCTTGGCCTGAGCGTGGAATAAACTTTTGAACCGTTGAACACTCGTAGCATGTTTAATCTGAGAATGAGTAAGACTATTGGATGCCCTAACAGTCTTGAGTAAGTACGACTTTGTAAGGCAATCCAGGTTATAGAAGTAAAGAAGACGGAAATTTGCAGCGTCATCACTTTCGATTAGTATATCAAGGTATTGGAGGTACCCAAAAACGATCAAAATTTGCAGTGACAAGACCAATCTTGAATTTAAACTAAGTATTGCCAAAAGCTGTCCAGGAATGTTTAATATTCAGAAGAAGTCGGAGAAAAAATAAGCAAGTGTTAATAAGCATGTTAGTCTAGCCTAATCAGGATCATTGTACCTCCTGCAATGCTTAATACCGTGGTTTCATGGGTGAGTATGAAAGCCATAATAGTCGATTTTACGAGCTTAATCTGTCAGACCCTGCTATTGCACCTATTGCGCTTTGCACCATTACTGAAAATAGGTTTTGTCACCATAGATACCCCGCGTGACTCAGACAAACTTTACATTCATCTTCAGTCTCAAACAAAAACAACAACTTTATTGACTTTATCTTCGAGATTAAGATTTCAGTTCCAAAACAATAACAAATGAAAAAACTAAAATAAACGTTAAGTAAGAAGGAAAGGATCAATTGAATATTATCATAAAAGAAAAAATTACTTGGCTATGTACGGCTTCAACGCTACTCGTATGGTAAGAAAGTTTAATTAGAGTTTGGATTTATAACAATTTAGAATATTTTCACTAAGATTTATGATGTTTTGATCGCACATAGTAGCCTGCGAAAACATCCGTTTTTCCTCGCTCTTCGCCGATCGGGACGTTTCGCGAGGAGGAACAATATAGGTTCCTCCGCGCGAAACGTCCCCATCGGCGAAGAGCGAGGAAAAACGGATGTTTTCGCAGGCTACGCACATAGACATGATATGTAAAAATAGTGCCTTTCAAGACATATTCGTAAAATTACTTTTTATCAAGTATAGACTCTATTTCAACAAATAGTGGAATTCATCACCAATTTCGGATCTATTACAAAGGGGGCAAAGCCTCTCAACTCCCCAAAGGCTTTGTATGGGTAACATGCGTTTCTGATATGAAAATTATTCATAAAA